TTCTCTATTTTCAACTCGGAAGTGAATTCTATTTAGGAAGTACTTTTTCTTCTATACTAATCAAAAGCTTTCACTTTGCAGATCTGACCAGCTGTATTGCTTTCCTGGATAGCACTGCAATGGGCAGGAGACAAATTAGTGCTGAATTGTCTCTTAATTGTCCTTTGTTTAGTTTCAGTGCCCTAGCAAAAAAAAAAAAAAAAAAGGATATTAAATTTACTCATCATTTCCTCCTTTTCTTCCTTTTCAATATTAAAAAATAGTGCTACTTTACTATATATAGAAGAAAAAAGGAGTAATTTGATGCCCTTTTCTTCATGGGTGACAGTCACAGATGAAATAGGAAGCAATTAAGATGCAATTCAGTATTAATTCCAGCAGTCTTGTACACAGAAAAAATAACATTGACTAACCAGAAATTGAAAACTTTCATCTTAAAGAAACTGTGTCATTTAAAGTCATATAGACTGACTTTATTGTATTAATGAGTGTGGTTGTGTTTCTTACAATAATAATTGTCTGAGACTCTATGTGAAAACAGAGGAGGAATACAGAAAACATTAGAATGTAGCCATTTACCAAGAATATTGTGTAGTTTCCCTACAAAAATAACTGAGTGAACCAAGAAGGGCAATTCCAAATAAAAGGATGAGTATGGAAACAACATTATTGAATTTTTTTTTCAAAAAAATGAGAATTACTTAGCACACCATGGTAACCTAAGAGACTCACTTTCTGAGGATAATCTACTTTGGATACAGGAAATCTTATTTAATTCATATATCTATGAATCAACATCTGAAACCACTGAAGTTTTTGTCTATGCTTCTGTTAAGATTAATGGGTCTACAAACTGTAGGAGTGAAATGATAAAGAAACTTGGTATTTTTCACATACTGTTCAATTACAACTCCTGCATCGATAACCTAAGGCAGTGATGGTGAACCTTTTAGAGACCGAGTGCCCAAAAACTGGCCCTGCCCCTGCTCCACCCCCTGCCCCACCTCCACTCTGCCCCCCATCCCTTGCCCCACCTGCCCGCAGGGCCACTTACCACCTCCAGGACCCACCGCAGATCGCCCAGGTAGCCCAGCAGTGCTATGGCAGTCATGCCCTCTTCCCGCGCCCTGCAGCATCAACTGTGCACGATGGGGTGTGAGGGGAGAGTCTTTCTATGCTGCCTGGCTGCCATGTCCTTGGCTGCACTGCTCCGGGTAGGTCACGCTCAGGGGCAACTCTCCTTCAGGGAGGCTGCTGGAGAGGAGGGAATCATGGGGGGAGGCGAGGCTGGGGCAATGGTATGTGTGCCCACAGAGAGGGCTCCAAGTGCCGCCTCTGGCACCTGTGCTATAAGTTTGCCACCACTGACCTAAGGCATCTTGTCCCACTAACTGAATATCTTAGTATGTCATAAACATACTATCCTACAGATAATTCTCACTTAACTACACTAAATGAGACACAAAATGCCATTGTTAAGAGACCTAGTTATAAATTAAAAAAAAACACCACATGTCTATGTCTCTTAATTCCAGCATTGCCATTGTTAAACAAGCACTGTATGGATTGTTAAGGGAGGACTTCACATGACTACTACATGTGACTTCATGCCAGCTTCCCCAATGAATTTGTTTGTTAGAAGTTGACAATGAAGATTACAAATTACAATCACCTGACCATAGGATGATATGAGATCGTATTCGCAATTCAGGCACCAAGCACCTGGTTCACAATCATATGATCAAGGAGAGAGGCACCTAGAACTAAGGAGAAATTTCCTGACAGAAAAATTAATCAGTGGAATGACTTCCCTCCAGAAGTTGTGGATTCTCCATCACTGGAAGTTTTTAAGAAGAGATGGGACAACCATTTGTCCGAAATGGTATAGGGTTTCCTACCTGAGCAGGGGGTTGGACTAGAAGACCTCCAATGTCCCTTCCAACTCTGTTATTCTGATTGCAGGGACACTGCAATAATAGTGCATATGAGAACTAGTTGTAACAGCCACTAGTTCAGCATTGTTGTAAGCTTGAACTTTGCTGAATGAGTGGTCATTAAATAAAGACTATCTGTACATTATAGAATTTACTATTCTACAGACATCCTCACCATACTCCGCATACTTCCTATGTTAAGACTTTGGAAGAGTCTCATAGATGTGGCTAGGCTAGATAAGAATCTTTATTGTAAACCAGAATGAAACCAAATGAAAGAACTGATTGCTCATTTCCAGCATAAGGATGCAGATTCTCTCTTATACTCGTTTTTTCTTCTTGCTCTTCTCACAGTTCAGGAGATGCTTGGTGAATCTAAAGCTGAGTGTTTCTTGAATATTTACATAATTGCCTTTTGTGAAACCCCCTGACTCTCACCTTAATGCTCATTCATACAGGAGCTGTAATCCAGACTTAGAGGAAACAGGATTGTTCCCATAATGTTTAATATTTATTAGCATTTATGTGTTAATATTTATTAACTTCAGTAGTAACTTTTAAACATTAATATGCGTTAACATTAACATGATATTTATTATGATTTTCTGAAGCAGCTTTGAGTCTCCATCTAATTCTTCTTCTGAATGCATTATCTTAAAATTGCTCTTTCAATTCATAACACCGAGCAGATACACGGTCATCTTAGCTTCTTATAATAATGTACTTTTATCACTAGGTTTTATATTGTATTGTTTCTACATTTTATAACTTCATAGTGTATTTTTGGTGTTTAAACCAAATGCAGTCATTACTTTATGCTCATCCTCAGCATGAGCATAAAGTAATGACTGCATTTCAAATGCAGAAATACAAATGCAGTCAGACTGTCTTTTACATTTCTAAATCAATTAAATCTTTGCTTTTTAAAACATGAGACTACCTTGAGGCAGTTTGTACCTCTTTAAAAACAACTTTCGAGATTGTCCCCACCTTATGACTTGAGATATATGGCTAGAGAAGAGAACTCCTTCTCTGTGGTGGTATCCAAATCATGACATATCTCCTTGAAGTAAAAAATAATACCAGCTTCCATGTCATATGAATACAGAATCTAATAGAAATCTAATACATACATACAGAGTCTGTTAATCTGAACCTTCCAGCTGAATTTTGCTGTTTGTTTCTAGTATATATGTTTCTTATCCTTGGGGATCAGTGTACTATTTATGGTTTGTTGTTTATTAGTCTTATACCTTTTTTACGGTTGTTATTTTAGAGTTGATAATGCTTTGTTAAATACTCATCACCTTGAAACCTGTGCAAAAGGTAAAATGGCAATGTTAAAACAGAAAGGAAAGACTAAACAAACTTTCAGCCTGATTGGCATACCCAGTAGGAATAAATTAGATATGCTTAACCAGGAGAGAAGATGGCTGGGGGCAGAGATAATTGCATAATTCAAGAATCAGAAGCAGGACCAGATGGATAGTCAGATCACATTTGTTGCCATCCCCGACCACAGGAGATGGAATGATGGCTTTAAGTTCCAGGAAGGCATTTAATATTAGGAGAAACATACTAAAAGTATGAGCAGTTTATCTAATTTTAATTTAATTTATTATTTTTTATTTTTTTATTATTTTATTTGATTATTTTATTTGATTATTTTATTTATTTTATTTTATTATTTTATTTATTTTTTTTTTTTAAAAAAAACTTACATAGCCACCCATTTCATGGAAAGATTCTGGGCAGCTCACAACCAGCAATAAAAACAAGGTTAAAAACAAAACTCTTTTCCTCAGGTGCCAAGAGAATGATAAGTTCCTCTTTCTCCAGATACATATATTTCAGAAGTTGGCTCAGCATCTGTTGGAGATGCTTCAGTTTGGATTTCTGAGCTAAGTGGAGAGTTGGTTTTAGTGGCCCCAATAGCCCTCCGACTGAATAATTCTGTAAAACTGAAAAATCAAGCTTTCTATTAGATTCTTTATTCATACAGACATGGATGCTGGTATTGTTTTTTTTACTTCAAGGAGATAAGCTTAATGTTCTCCCTCTTCTCTTTTTATTTACCAGTTGCAAGTTCTATAAATGGAGGATTTATACATCTTGGCTCAAACACTAGTAAAAAAAAAAGACTGGTGTCATAGACTGATGAAAATATAATTTATATCTGATTGAGGGGCTGTTACACAACCTTGAATTCAGCAGAATTATAGGGTGCCTTTTGATATTATGCTCTGTGGCTTGTATATTCTAGCCACAGCTGCCAGTTCTTACAAGTAAGAAAAAATGATGAATACTGCATTATTTTCTTCTTGTAATTACTAAAATGAATTTAACTTTTAATGGCTCATTACAGATTAGATTTCTGTAAATCTGCCTTTTCTTTTCTTTGAAAAAAAAACAGCTTTCTTTTGAGGTTTTTTTTCTCCATTTCCCCTTTTTCTTTATTGCACTTTTTTCTTTCTTTCATTTCTCCTTAATTTATTTCTGAAGTATGTGAAAATATATATCAAGGTAGGAAAAAAAACCATTTTTTATTTGCTTTTCAAATTAAAAAAATGTCTATGGGTTTTATGAGGAAATTTAGTTCAAAAACTAAAATACTAACTAGGGATCTGATAACTTTTCTGGTAGGATGTCATGTAGTTTGAAGGAACGGACTTATTTAGCATATTTTCTAAAAGGCTGGTTCTCTTTTAAAAAATAGTTTCCTTGGGTGGGTTGGTGAGCAAACTCAAAAATAATTCATAATGTCCAGAACCATAGAGCAGCCCAAAGCTAGACCCTAATAACAGGCTCAAGAATACAGCTTGCTTACATCAAAGTTAACTTTCACAGAGTCCAGAAACTCAAATATTCGATTCCTTGCAAGACCTGCTAATAGGCCTTTGTCAGTTCTGATGAGTGCCACTTCTAGCATTTCAACCAAACAAGCAGATTACATTAAGAAAAATGATCAGCTATTTGATAACATACAGAACACTATATAGTACAATGTCAAGGACCTTTCTTCACTTTGTTGTTGTTTCTAATAAACTTTTGCTTTTTCATGTATAGATTATAGATGAAGAAGAAACACAGTTCATGAGTAATTGTCCTGTGGCTGTGACAGAGAGTACACCAAGGAGAAGGACTCGCATTCAGGTGTTTTGGACAGCTCCTTCTTTGGGCACAGGCTGTGTAATTTTGAAGTAAGTAAATTTATGGTTTAAATGTATGATAGAAAGCATAGCTTACAGCATGTACTGTACTTTATGACTTTGCACTGATCTTTAGCCTGACCTTTGCTGTACTATGAGATCCTCAGAAACAGCCATTCTCCAGGTCTAATGCTCTGAATACCTGTAAACACTGGGAGAAAATGAGGGATTTTTATGCAGGCAATTTGCACTGCTTTGAAACCAGATCAGGACCTCTGTAATTTTACTAAAAAGAAAAAAAAATCAAGAATGGAATAGATTTAGTTTTGACTCAACAGATATGTGTCTGAAATTAGTCTTTTACTTTAAATGCTGCAGGCCCACGGAATATGGGGTGGTCCATTTCTCCATTGGCAGGTAGCTGACATTTCAGAAAATGCCTGGCTGCAGGGGCATTTATACGGCTGGTCAAAATCTGCATGATGGCAAATCCAATGTTGCAATCCAAATCTTAGTAAATCATGTGAAGTGGTTCAAGTTTGACATTGGCCTTGTATTCACATAAAGACGTACAGAAGAGCAACAAAGATGATTAGGGGACTGGAGGCTAAAACATATGAAGAAACATTGCAGGAATTGGGTATGTCTAGTTTAATGAAAAGAAGGACTAAGGGGGACATGACAGCAGTGTTCCAATATCTCAGGGGCTGCCACAAAGAAGAGGGAGTCAAGCTATTTTCCAAAATGCCTCAAGGCAGGAAAAGAAGCAACGGATGGAAACTAACCAAAGAGAGAAGCAACTTAGAACTAAGGAGAAACTTCCTGACAGTTAGAACAATTAACCAGTGGAACAACCTGCCTCCAGAAGCGGTGAATGCTCCAACACTGGAAGTTTTTCAGAAGAGACTGGACAGCCATTTGTCCGAAATGGTGTAGGGTTTCCTGCCTGAGAAGGGGGTTGGACTCGATGACCTCCAAGATCCCTTCCAAAGTTGTTGTTGTTATTATTATTGTCGATCATCGCACAGTCAGCCAGATGTTCAGACTGGATTTGGCATTTTGTCTACCTATCGAGTCCTTACCCAGGACCTGGGATAGGCAGATGTGGATGTTTGATGGTATTACAGATATCGTCGCAGGATGGAAGCAGTTCCTAATAAGGCCGCCTTTTGCAATTGACTAATAGCGAATTTGTCAATGCCAATGGTGTTCAAGTGGTGCTCCAGTTGTTTTGGGATTGCACCCAAGGAGCCTATGACTATTGGTACTACCCTTGCTTGCTTTTGCCACAGTCTTTCTATTTCTATTTGTAGGTCTTTGTATTTTGTTATCTTCTCCAGTTCTTTCTCTTCTATTCTGCTATCTCCAGGCACTGCCACGTCCACTATCCAGACTTTTTTGTCTTTCTTATCGACAATTGTTAAGTCTGGGGTGTTATGTTGCAGGTGCTTGTCTGTTTGAATTCTGAAGTCCCAGAGCAGTTTAATTTTATCATTTTCTATGACTTTCTCTATTTTATGATCCCACCAGTTTTTGCTTACAGGCAAATGATATTTTTTGCAGATCTTCCAATGCACCATTGTTGCTACTTTGTCATGCCGCTGCTTGTAATCAGTTTGTGCAATCTTCTTGCAACAGCTTACCAAGTGGTCCACTGTTTCTTCAGCTTCTTTGCATAGGCGGCACTTACTGTCTGTTGCTGTCTTCTCAATTTTGACTTTGTATGCATTTGTCCTTAAGGCTTGGTCTTGTGCAGCCAGAATTAGTCCCTCGGTCTCTTTCTTCAATTTTCCTGCTCTTAGCCATTGCCAGGTTTTATTATTATCTGCTTTCCCAGCTATTTTTTTCAATGTATTGGCCATGTAGTGCTTTGTCTTCCCATGCCTCTATTCTGTTCTTCATTTGGTCTTTCTTGTAGGCCAGTTTGGTCTCTCCAGTAGTTAGTAAGCCTTCCTGATATACTAATTTCAGTGCATCTTCATCATTGTTCTTCAGATATTCTTCCAAAGCCATTTTTTCTTCTTCAACCATCTGATGTACTTGTAGCATTCCACGCCCACCTATTTGCCTTGGTAGATAAAGTCTATCAATGTCACTGCGTGGATGAAGGGCAGCCTAAATGTTGGAGATATGGTTGCTTGGATGCTACTTATTATCATATCTGGTGGTCATGTAAAAGCATAAACGCTTTTTGGATTAAGATAGGGTGGAATATACAAAGAATTTTCAAAAGAAGGATAAAATTTACTCCACAATTGTTTTAGTTGGGTATTGTCTCTGATTGTGACAACAAAGAAGTTATTTTAATGTTAAACTTAATCACAGCGGCAAGGTTGTTAATAGGACAGTATTGGAAGAAGGAATTTTTGCCTACTTTGCAGGAATGGTTTCTTAAAGTTTCTTACCTATCTGAAATGGCAAAAATTTCGGCTTTTTTGAAAGATCAATCGCAAGAGAAGCATCTCTTGATGTGGAAAAGATGGATAAATTTTATACAATATAGGTATGATATTAGAAAATATCATTTAGCTTTTGAATAATTTATATTTAAAGTTTAAGATATTATTTAGAAGTGTAGAATAGTTTAGTTTTTCTCTTTTTTCCCTTTTATTATTTTTCTTATTTTCTTTCTTTTCTTCTTTTTCTCTTTCTGCTTTTTTTTTATACATAATAGAGTTAATGTATTTAACAATTTGCTCATTGGATATAATCATATTTGTTTGTGGTTTATTTGAGTTTATAAGCTTTTTCTACTAAGTTTTAGTTAACTCTGTATCTAGCTCTGGGAAGAATGGGGGAGGGTTTTGGGAGGGTTGGGAGGGATTGGGAAAGGGGTTTTCATTGTAAAATTGTAAAAAATTATAATAATAATAAAAAAAAACAATAAAAACAACCACAAAATAAATAAGTACAAGCAGCAGCTGTGGTGATTAATCAACTAATAGTAAAGCGAAGAAATGGATCCCATAGCACATTCTGAGCCCCAGGCCTGGGTACATAATCAAGTTTTTAAAGCTTTGCAAAAAACCAACAGAGTTGTGAACATTCTAATTTTTGAGGAGAGAATGTTCCTAAGGCAGGGGCTACAGCAGAAAAATCCCAGTTGGTATACTTTGGCTGATGGAATCTGCAGGATGCCTAGTCTGTTGGATTGAATTGGATGAGGAGAAACTCTTAGAAAGAGACCCAGTCCCATTCCATTTTGGGTTTTAAAGGTGATTATCAACACCTTAAATTGCACACAGAAACATACTGGCAACCAGTGCAGTTCACCGAATAGTATTGTTACATGGAATATGTACCAAGCACCATTTATTACCCTTACAGCTACATTTCTGAATGCTCTTCAAGAGCAGCCTACAGCTGCCAACTGCTCTTCAAGCAGGAACTATGAGTCTAGGACAGAGGCCCCTTTATGAATTGTGGACTTCAACTCCCAGAATTCTTGAACCACCATGGTTGGCTCAGAAATTCTGGGAGTTGAAGTCCACATCACATCATAGTTCCCACCCCTGGTCTAGGAGGGCCCCCAGGTCTGTCAGAAGTAGAGGTGGAAGAATCTTGTCTCTCAAATATCCAAATACCCATAGCCACTCTGTCTTGCTAGGGTTGAATTGGAGCCCTTTTTGCCTTATCCAGACCCAAACTGCCTCCAAACACTGGGATAGGACATCCATAGCATCACTCAAGAGGCATGGAGTACTAATATAAAGCTGGGCATCATCCTCATATTGATGATACCTCACCCCAAACCAATGGATCATCATGTTGATATTAAATAGGAGAGGTTTAACATCACTAGAGGACATTCATGAATGTGATCAATGCTGCTTCAGTCCCAAACCCTAGCTTGAACCCCAACTGAAAGGACTCTAGATAAAATGAAGAAAACTTGTACAGTGATGGGAAAGAAATAACCACACATTTCTGAAGAATAAATAAAGATGCACCCATCCTGAAAGAATAAGCATAGGGTTTCTTGAGATCAAAGGCTGGCTCACGAGTAGTTGGGACACAGTCATGATGTTATAATCAGTATAACTCTTTGATAAGCATCAATCCATTTTGTAGGATTAGGTAACTCAGAGGTAGCATACTTCAACCAAGAATTCAGCACTTTGATGGGGGCATCTAAGTTTGTGACTATTATAATAAGACACTGGTGGGTCATGTTGGCGGCTATTGACTTCTCTCTATTAGCACAGCATTGCACAAAATTTGTCCCAGCAAACTGGAACTTTCTTTTCCAGTTTCTAGTTTTCTTCAAAATCTTCTTAGCTGGCTTGAGAGATCTTCCCACAGTAAGCATTTGAGGCATCAGAAGTCTTCAGAGAATGGCTTTGCCTCTTCTGATTCAGGAGAAAATGCTTCCATCAGCAAAACAATACTGTTGAATTCAATTCACCAGATTTTTATAATTTATTTTTATATTTTAAATTGAGTTCTTAAATAAATATTGAAAGTAGTTATAGTCATATATATATATATATATATATATATATATATATATATATATGCTTTAAAAATGAGGTATTTAAATTAAAAGCACGAGATTTCAGTTTCATCCAAACTGATGTTTGTATAGCATGATCTTTTAAATTATTACACACTTATTTCCTAATTAATTCCAGTTTCCCATCATATAGGAAACCTGTATTTGTGTTTGTTGAGTTGCTTCCAATAATGTATTCTAAAAAGTCAAATTATACTTGGCACAATGTAATTTGGAAGACTGGTCTTGGTAGAAGTTATGCACATGTAAAACTGGAAAAGGACATATTTCATTCTTTTTTAAAGGCAAAGTACAGAAATTGCTTCTTTCAGCATAAGTATTTCTTTTCTGTTTTATTCATGTGTCTCTTTTTGGATGTGATGGTTGAAAAACTTGAAAAGGACATAAAATCTGCCAAATTAGAGATTTGGCAGATTTAGAACATCATTTACATGCATTTTTAAAAGTCACAATCCTCTGGGAAATTGTGCAGCTGGAGCACCAATTTGAATGTTTGCAAAACAAAATATATGCAGGCTTCAGAAGTCAATACCATGAA